TATATATATATATATATATATATATATATACACGCACACACGTCTTGATGTTTACTGTCAACAATATTGTTTGACAACAACTACCTATCACGTGTTACAGTGTGATGTAAGGTAAACACTGAAGTTTTTAACAGAGTAAAGCTCTTAAGATGTGTTATTCTATAACAGCTAAAAATGGAAGTATGTATTTAATTTGAGACATGTTCCTGTCAGTGTACTCTCGTTACACTGCCTTTTTTTCCCTCAGTGAAATACATTTGGTTAAATATTCAGCAGGGTGAGGGTAGGCTAAGCTAACAAGCTACAGGGTGACACACCGTGTCTATATATTTTTATTTTATTTTTTTGTTGGTTTTTACCTCCTCGCTGGGGGAGCACGGAACCTTCTTAATCCGACTTCGGTTGACTAAATTCCCGGTGTGAAAGCGGAGAGTCTTGGCATGGTTCAGCAGCAGCTTCGCCTCAGCGTTGTTTGTGTTGGTATCCATGTGGTTTCCGGCTGCTAATGCTAACAAGTTGTAATTTCAAAACGACGTTTTGATGCGTCAAAGTGTGTCGGTTGCGAACAAAGAGCTCAGGTTACACACTGACTGAGCTGCTGTGTTTGTAGCTGCTGAGCACGAATAAATACTGAAAGCCCTGTAGGAGTCAACGTACTACGGTCGGGATGACTTGCATGTAGTGGTGCCTCCTACTCGGCTCTTAATGAACCGGTGTTGGCCACGCCCACGCGGCGGTGTCATTCACAAGTTAAATGACCTGCATCGCTCCTGTTCAACCACTAGATGGCGGTGATGTTCTCGGTTTGTCAAACCTAATTAAAAATGTCTGCTCGTCATCGCCCCGGTAGACGGTCTGATGTGTTTGTCTGTTAGCAAAATATTCCATGAACTACAGCCCCAATTTTAGTGAAACTCCCAGAATATAATAATATGTTGCACTTTTACAAGTGATTACCTTTTGGAGTCAGTGTGGTTCAAAATGACTGCCAATGCCAACTGAACTCAAAAAACACAAAAATAGCTGTAACTCAGTCAATTATACAGATATTGACCTAAGATTTGCTGTGGTAGACTGATTATAAACCCTTAATTCAAGGGCAAACAAATTGCACAAGATCTTAGCTTTCTAAATTGCCATTAACTATTTGGAGTCAACCTTATCTGTTAGCAAAATATCTCACAAACCACAGGATGGATTCTAATTAAACTTTTAAGAAATTATCAGTAGATGCACATCTATAAATAGTTACATTTTGGAGCAACCCAATTTAAGATGGCTACCCTTTCCACCTCATCCATAAAACATACTGGCTATAATTCAGTCATAATTACAAATATTGTGTAAAAAATTTGTTTTTGGTAGTATGTAAAAGTCATTCAAACTAAAGGTTATTGCTCTAGATCATTACTTAAAATTTCAGCATTGCTTATCTTAGAGTTCACCTTGTTTGTTAGCAAGCTATCTTGCTTAGCGCTCAAAAGATTTGAATTACCTCTGGAACTGTTATGCAACTTTTGGAGTAAATGCAGTTCACAATGACCACCACAGCTGACTGATATTAGCTAACACAACAATAACTCTGTCAGTCTTTCAAATATTGAGCTAAAATTTGGTTTTGGTAGTAGCTGAGAGTCATTCACAACACAAACTCTGAGTGTGACATCATGAAATACCAAATGAGATCAACTGTAATGTTATTTTCAAGAACACAACTCTGTCATTTCTCAACATATGATGATAGTCTAAAACTCTGGCATGAACAGCATTCGTCAATATATACTTATAGCACAAAAAGTAAGGAAATTTGTCTTTGTTGTAACAGTGCTTCTTGGCATTCAATCTTATTGGCAGCACCTGGGGGTACCAGGAGCTCAAAATAAGTGTCAATAGCAAAAGCAAAATAAGCTGTTTGGTTGAGAACATTTGTCAGTTTTTTTTTTCATGTGCACAACCCACATACTCAGCTGCTCGTCCAACAAATGCATGTTCCTTACAAATGTGGCACCATTTAAGAGAACAGACTTTCCAACTGTAAAAAGCATTGTTACAACAAATAAATCAATCAACCAAACACAAATTTCCCTTCTTTCTGTGCCAAGTATAGCATTAATTATGCTATGCCTTTAATTTACATTTAGAAATTCTTCGTACATCTTTATACATATGGTAAACTGAATGTAAAAAAGTATGCTGTGTTTCCATATTTTGCTGTATTTTGTATAGTGCAAATACCATTAGTTGCTCATTTTGACCTTGCATACTAATTCAGACTACTATTTAAATGGGGCTTAACTCTAATTACCATTTATTCCTCCAGTAGTCCTACAAGACAACAAAGTGTAATAAAGAGGTTTCAGGCCAGATCAAGACCTGATGTCAGAAAGGGGATTTTTTGATGGATTATGACATTTTTAAATGTATACCAGGTGTAGAAGGGGCCACAGGGGCTTTGGCCCCAGCTGAAATCTGATCGGCCCCTTGAAGTGCCCCTGTTCTGGTTGTCCAAGAGCAAAGATGAGTGATGCAGCTCCATGTTTGAACACTAGTAGCGCTAATGAGTCAAACAGGAAAGTGCAGGAATCAAGCTCACAGTTGTTTTCTTCAAGAAAATTTGAACAATCCTTCAGGAAAAGTCTTTCAACTGAAAAACAGTGGCTGGATTCTTTTTCACATGTTGTATGTTTGAGAGTATTTTATTTATGCACAGTTAAAATGCATGTAAAATTGGTAAAGATAAATTACTGTGCAAGCTTTTTTACAATCACATTACAAGTGTTTGAACATGTGTGACTGGTTAAATGTATTAACTTTACTAAAACTGGAGATTTGTGTGCAAGGATGCTGAACAAATATTTGGCCCCTCTATTGTGGCCCCTGGCTTAGAAAAATCCTAGATCTGCCAGATTTATACAGACATCATTCTTCAAATTAACAACTTGTGTGTGTTTTGTTTCTCTTCTGCTGCAGAATAAATAATAAAATATGCATTGTCAAAATAAATTGTTCAAAAGCATTTTGCATTTTTTCCCTGATATTTTTAAATAAGCACATTTAGGCTACATAAATGTAAACTTTGTTAAGTTTTAAAATAGAATACTTTGCATGGGGGGAAAAACAAGTGTTTCCAAAGATTTTTAGCAAGTTGAATCATGAAAATTCAAACGACTTTTTAAAACAAAATTTCTCTTTATTAGTTTTACAGGAAAGTGAAATAATAGGGAACATCTTGTCAACTGCAGTCATGCAGGCTGAGACCAAAATACGGCAAATTGTTTGCAAAATACTGATTATGTTATGCAGATAATATTAAAACATTTCCATTTTCTGCCAATATTTTAATATTTTTATAACTCCCAAACATTCAGAATATTAAATGATCTTTTAAACAAAACTAAACCACCTTTATAAAATCGTTTTTGTTGTAGATTAAAATTGACAACAAGAACAGACGTAACATCAGATTACGAGGATCTGGTCGGTTCAAGTGATGAAATAAGACACGCTGAGCTTTTATTTTTTACCATGAGCACCCCAAATCTGAAGCAGCAGGAAGAAAGCCACGGCTGTAAATCAGTTTTGTGCTTTCCCCTTGACGATGTCAAAGTGTCTTCCCAGAACAAAGGCCTGTTGCAACACTACAGAAAAGCAGCAAAGTATTGGGTAAGACTTAGAACATTTACTTTCACTCTCTGTTCTGCCTTTTAATTGTCCTCCAAGTGAAATCTGCACTGGCACAGGTTTTAGGGTGAAGAGATCACACAGAACATCCTTTGTCAGAGTTGTATAATCATTTGTCGACATTTTACTAAGGTTTAGTTGTTACTAATAGAGAAGAAAAGAAAAACACTTGCTCAAATCTGGGCCAGACTGAAAACACTTGGTTTGTTATGAAATTATAACACGAGACAAAAGCTGTGGATACCATGTGGAAAATCATTTCTCAAGAAAAGGTTGTTTTTTTGTTGTTTTTTTTTTTTTTTTTTTGGGGGGGGGGGGTAATAGTGATGCAATGCAGAATGCAAAAACTGTATTTCAAATAAATTTTATGATTTCAGCTTTAACAGTTTCCAAAAGCTAAATGCACACATTTCCATTATATGCCATATTTATGGCAGGGGTGCCCAAACATTTTCCCCGAGGGGGCCAAAATGCAAATCTATCCAGGGCAGCGGGCCAAATACAGTAATATAATACATGAAATACAAATACTTTTTAAAGTAAAGTCCCTTATTTTGAACGATTAAGCTATGCAATGGTCCTCTTTAGTTTTAGTCTGTGCACTTGGAGAAAGTCTGCCATACGCTCAAATAGCAAAGGCTCATGGGACATTTCATAAATTGATAAAATATGAGTTTTTGTGGCCTTATAAAGTGTGCAAATCTACATGTGGGGTTAAATCTGAACAAAATATTTCTTGTCATTTCATGTTTCATGTTTAATCCTAAAAAAAAATCAAAGATAAAGCCAGCGCAATGAAAGAAAACTACCTTCACTACAGCCCTTTTATATAGTCATTTGACCAATGGAAATACTGTGTATATACACAAGATAATAGGTTACAACCTTGTAACTTTGGCAACTGTTGGTGGGCCAAATCAAATGGCTTGGCGGACCAAATTTGGCCCGCGGGCCCCACTTTGGGCTCCTCTGTTCTATGGAATAAAACTGCAGAACACTCTGGTGCAAGGAACAGAAGTTTGCTGAAAACATGCATGCATTCTCTAATAAAAAGTGTGCAGATTGATATGTAGAGACCAAACAGTGTGCAGTTGGATAAAGTCCAGTTTTAATACATAACAACACAAAGAACAAGAAGGTTTTAGTTGTTTAGCTTGGCTTTTCCTGTTTTTAATCACAGCAGCTCTGAGCACAAAGCAGGGTCAAATATCTTTCAGTTTCTTATGTTTAGGCGGAAGAAATAAGTTCTCTGCTCAGAGCTTTGACCTTTCTAACTCTGAGCGGTGAAACCTGTTGAGTCGACATCAGCACCGGACTTTACTGCTCAAAAACAGGAAACCCCTGCAGTGAGGAACACAACACAAAGCAGATGCTTTTACATGTGAACGTAGAATGTGTCCGCAGTAATGTAATTCATTGCACACGAAGCCATAAAACATCTACATGTTTATGTATTTTATGCGTAAACTTGCAGTGCTTCGTGTTCGTCAAAAAAAACTGAGCATATCTGATTTACGGCCTGTTTCAGACTGCATCGGTTCAAGTGAACAATGGTGGTGAGAAGAGATGAGAGCTGACGAGGAGTAGATAAAATAAAACGAACTGAGCCATAAATCTTTGGGTCATAATTCAGAACATATTTCAAAATATAAATTACTGGAGGCAGTTGACCAGAAACCATGAGGTCAGGCTTTGTTGTGTTTTTTGTTCCAGATCTGGAAGGTTTTGCGACTTGTGGGGGATTTGAATTGAATGTCAAACTAAAATAAAAATAAATAAAAAAATTAACACATGAAAGTCTTTTGTGCATGAAAAGCGACATTACATTGTAAAGATTTGTAAAAAAAAAAAAAATTACAAATGTTACAATTACAATTACAAAAACATTCATTGTAAAAAAATGCTCCAAAAAAGGTAAGATACTAAAAACAATTTGATAAAAATTTAGAACTTTTTAAAATATTCAGTTTTACTGAGCTATTTTTACACAAATGATCACTTATTAAACTTTCTTTTGTGAAGCCACTTTCTTAGACAATGCTCGTTCAACCATTTGACACAGAAAAATTATGAAAAAAAATCCAACTCAGTATGAAAATATTCTGAAAGATTCTTTACAAGAACTTTGTTTTGTGTGTGCACGTGTGCATGTGTGTGTGTGTGTGTGTGTGTGTGTGTGTGTGTGTGTG